CAGAAAAGGCTTACCATCATCCTTTAGCATGTTTAATTAGAAGCCTGCCCCTTAGGTTGCAAATATGGTGATAAGTTAATAGGACTCTTTCACAGAAAGATTGAGTTACTGGGGTTTGTTGCCTTGTGCTGTGCCCTAAGGGATTGCTGTTTAAGAACTCTACCTTATAGTCCTATGGGACCCATGAATGCAAGCCCCACTGCCCAGAAAAGCCAGGCACTGCAGAGGTGTCCCCTGATAGCAGCTGCAAAGATCAGAGCATCAGAGAAGGCTTTAAACTCCTTTCTGTAAGATCCAGTGGGCTGGGGGAGGCAGAGAGAGTGTGCAAAGATTGCATCCACCAGCCTCTGTTCCCTGAGAGCAACTCCAAAGTGCCCCATAGGTGTGCCAGAGCAGAGACAGCCCCTCAGGCCAAAGCTCAGGGACAGGTAAGCAGGTGTCTTTCTCAGAATGCCCTGGGGGGTGTGTTTCCATCTTTCTGTGCAGTGCCCTGGGAGTGGCTGTCTGCCTAATTGTCACAGTCCCATGAACCAGAAACACAGACACCCCTGGACTCAGAGCCAGGTGATCAAGGGGCAATCCCTGAGTGGCAACCACAAAAACTGAGTCACCAGATGTAAAAACTAGGGCACCAGATATGAGGAGAAGGTCCCCTAACCCTAACCCTAACCCTAGAAAAAGACTCTCCCCCCAATGCTTTGGAGTAAAGAGAAGGGTGAGCACAAATATGTGCTCCCACTGAGTGGAGCAAAGCAGAAGGGTGTGCAAAGATAGCACACACTGGAAAAAGGACAAAGGGAAAGGAAAAAAATAAAATAAAGAAAAAAAGGGAAAAAAAAATGGTGTCCATTGGCTTTAGCAAGGCAGAGGGAGAGCAGGAAGATGGCGCCCATCACCTCCATCCCCCAGAAGGTCCCCAGCAACCCCTGCCCCTCAGACCATCACTTTAAAATTAGGAAATGAGTTTATTTTACATCAAGTTTGGGTACTTTTCAAAGGGCTGCTTTTGTACTGGGACTTGGGTGAGTGAGCCTGTGGCTGTGGGTGTGAGCCCCATTGCTCTTCAAAGCTAGATGTTCTGGGAGCTCATGTCTCAGGTTGTGGTCTTAATGTTGGGGGGTCTCAGGGAGAAGCTCCAGGTTTTGAGTTCCATCCCAAATGTGGGTCACCACTCCCAGGAATAGAGTTTATGGAGAGATTGGGTCTCAGCCTTTCTTACCTGCTACAATGTGGTTTCCCTCATGATTGCTCAACAAAATGTGAAGGGGCTGCTCCACCAGTTTTTAGTTTTTTCTCAGAGGAAACTGTTCCATATATAGCTATAGATTCAGTGTGACATGTGCCATGTGCATGCAAGTTCTTTCCAAATCACCGTCTTTTACTGGAACCCTCAGCACTTCTGCTAAAAAAAAAAAAAAAAAATGGCTCCTATTAAACAACTGTGGGAGTGGGTTCCTTGTGACTCCTCTCACTCAAACATTGCAGTCCCATGTTGGCTTCTGTTTATGATTTAAAATGTAGTTTTATACATTATGTCCAAGTTTTGTTGTAATTTTATGGTAGAAGGAAAAGTATGTTATTAAGTACCAATAAATATCTGTTTTGTTCAAATTCTTATTTAATAACTGAATAAATGGATACATCTTTAGCTTATCCTCTATTTAAAAAATACTAAAATGCAGGATTTCAAAATATATTTTATCTCTAGTTTATTTCCTCTATTTTAGATCAACATCCAAAATGAAGTACGCTTTGGGTTCTGAATTCTGGCATCTTATAAACTAGCACTGCCCCTGATTTGGTTCATCCTCAGGTATAGTAAGTATCCCTTTTATATTTTCCTGTTAAACATCATTTGGTAAATCTACTGAACAAGAGGGCAGAATCAAACACCTTACTCTGATTCAGTGGGCATCTACTTACCAAGACACTTGGGAAAACTGTCCAAACTGTTCCCTTTTAGTTTGTTCAATATTAGCATACAATTTACATTTACCTTGTCCTTAAAGATGATGAGGTTGGCTGAAATGAGGAAATTCCCTATGTATGAGTTAATCCACCTTTGTAAAAGGAAACTAGGGTGTGTCCATATGGCCATTCTTCTGGCCCCTTGTTGGCTGTTAATACATTTACCAAACAGCGTCCCTTAGGGATTCCTGTGCCACAGGCAAATAGCAATGTTATATAATGGGAAACATATGTTAAATTTGAACTTACAGTCCTCTTATTAGCTACATAACAGACAATTTGTCCTCTAAATTTTTGTCCATTATTAATTGGGGATAGAATACTTATTTGAATGTTGTTTTGAAGATTAAGGAAATATGTGAAGGCGACTATTATTATTTTTCCATGTGAGGGTAGCCAAACAAGATGGCTACTATATTAATATTGTTATTATCATTCTAGAATTCTGCATGCAATTCACCCAAGCTTGGATATTTGAACTTAAGTATCCACACGCTTTCTCACTAGCTTTTTTTGTTATGACCCTAATTCTTTCTGAGCAATGTTTAGCATCTTCTTTTATAAAGATTGCTCTTTTTAGAAGAGAACATACAGACTCACAAAGGAATTTGTATACTTAATGCTTCTTCTCTTAACATTACTTATTTTCTCAAAGGAGAACTTTTTCCTGTTTTTCTTGCTCCAAATAGAATTAACAAATTCACTTTAATGATTGCCTCTTTTGATATTGTTAAAAGTTCTATTTCATAACTGCTTTTTTCCCCCTTTCCTTCCTTCCTTTTTTTCTTCTTTGTCCTTCCTTCGGGGATTCTCCTATAATCATTCCTTATATGCTTATTTAAAAACCTGCAGAGTGCTGTGAAGCAGCAGCATCTGATATCTTTGCAACTTTGAGACCTTTCTACTTTTTCCTTATTTAGCAAAGTAAGAAATCCGTTCTTCTCTCCTTCCCTCTCCTTTCCTTCCTTCCTTCCTCTCCTTCCTCCTTCCCTCCCTCCCTCCCTTCCTTTCTCTTTTCAGCTTTTCATTTCTCTTGAGTTACATTACAAGTCTGGTCAGCAAGATTCTATTCTTGATTTTCTGATTAAAAAACAAACTGCAGGGGGGTGTGGCGGGGGTTGCTCCTGTGTCTTTTTCATGCATGTTTGTGCCATTTACTATTAAAGTGCAAACTTCTAGAGGAGGAAAAGGCAGGACGTCCTCTCCCTAGTACATTGTCCAGCACGAAGAGCCTCTCGTTAAGGTCAAAACAGAAAAAGGCACCCGGCCGCTTGCTGCGGGAGTGTGTGTGTGTGTGTTTCTTTTTCATGCATGTTTGTGCCATTTACTATTAAAGTGCAAACTTCTAGAGGAGGAAAAGGCAGGACGTCCTCTCCCTAGTACATTGTCCAGCACGAAGAGCCTCTCGTTAAGGTCAAAACAGAAAAAGGCACCCGGCCGCTTGCTGCGGGAGTGTGTGTGTGTGTGTTGTGTGTTGTGTGGTGTGTGTGTGTGTGTGTGTGTGTGTGCGCGCGCGTGTACTGTAACCGAGTGTGTGTGTGTGTGTGTGTGTGTGTGTGCGCGCGCGCGCGCGTGTACTGTAACCGAGCTGGGAGCCTTTCAATAAATTGTGTGCCCCGGGATCCACTCCCTTCCAACCCTTCCAAGCAGTCCACGCAAACCAATTTAGACCAGAAAACGACGAGACTAACTGGCTAACAAAACCTGTCCTCGAGGCCACCGGGCGCAATCTGGGGGCGCGCGAGGCGGGGTTGAGAGGGAGAACCCCCGCCAGACCGAGCCCCCAAAGCCCCCGAGGCGCAGCGGGCCTGCTGGCTGCCGGGCGGGTCGGGCTCCGAGCGCTACTGGCTGGGCTCGGCGGGACACGCGCGCCGCCCGGAGAAGAGGCGCGGGAGCCGAGCAGGAAGGGGAGGAGCGGGCGGCCGCCAGCGCCCGGCCGAGGCGGAGGGCGGAGGGCGGGAAAGACCCTCCCCCCCGGACGCCAGGGTCCGCTCTGAGCCACGAGGAGACGGGGGGGGGGGGGGGGGAGGTGCAGGAAACGCAAAGGAAGGGGCGAGGTGGCGGAGCAGCGGAGCACGGAGCCGCTGGCCGGCGAGGGCCGGGGGCCGGCGGGGCGGGGGCGGTGCGCAGCCGGAGCGGGGCCGCCGGGGCAGGTGCGGCGGCCGCGGCCCGGGGGCGGCATGTGACGCGCGGCCGCAGCTGCCCGCGGGCGGAGCGCGACGCCGGCAAGTCGCTGCCATCCCGGGTCCCCAACCCCGTCCGTTTGCCGGCGGCACAGCGCTTCTGAAGGGACGCGCGGCGCGCGGTCCTGGGACTTTCGCTGTCTCCCGGAACGCCGAGCAGGAGCAGCAGGGACGGGCGCGGGCGCCCCGCGCACCGGGAGGCGCAGCCTGCGAGGGACGGCCACCGGAGCGCAGCGCCAGGTACGCACGGCTGTCACCCGCGCCGGGCCAGGCGGCGGCCGCCGCGGCCGACCGGGTTTCTAGCCCCGTCGCTTCGCGAAAAGAGAAAAAGTTTCCAGTGCAGGAAGGAAATGCATTTGCTTTGGGCAGTTTGAAGAGGGCCATGAGGAGGGAGGAGAGGGCTGCTCTTGGATTTGGGGGCGAGGGTAGGGAAACTTGAATCCGGAGAGCGCGCGTGGCGCAGAGCTGGCGCTCCGGGACTGAGAGTGCGGACGCCGCGCTGACACTGAGCGCCGGGCATCCTCGGAGCGGCGCCGGGAGAACCTGGGGCGCCCCCCAGCCCTGCTCCGCTTGGAGTCTCTCTCCTCGGAAGGCGGACCGAGGCCCCGAGCGTCCGCGCTTACGGAGCTGTGGGCTGGGCTCGCCGCGCGGGTGTTGGTCGCTGTTTGACTTCCGAATGCTTTTAAGAAAGCGAAGCACACACCCGCCAGCCTCGCATGGGGCCGCTTGTGCAGACTGCATTTCGGAAGCTAAGAGGCCAAGTTGGCACTTAGCGTAACACCTGGACGCAGGTAGGTAGCGGGGAGCGCGTCCATACGGACCCAGGGAGAGTCCATACGCGCGGAGCGGTAGCGGTTGGACTGCCCCGAAGCTCGCCTCAAGAACCCTCTCCCGGCGCAGCCGCCTTACCGCGGGCTTGCGTTCTGCGTGCTTTCAAACGGTGGGGGCAGGGGGACAGTTGACTTGAATAGCAGAATTCACTTGTCTACTTGGCGCTGTGCGTGTTGGAATTGGACCCTGCTCGGCGTGCGCGTGCGTGTGTGCTTCTCTCCTAGCACGCAGGTTGGAAGTGGCAGAGGAAGCAGGGGTTTGCGAATTGCCTCCATATGGACAGATTTCAAGAGTGCAAACATCCATTTGTCTGCAAGTGTCATTTGAACCTGTCCGATGGTTGTAAGGATATGTTTTCTCCGGCTGTCCGTGTTTGCACTGGGAAGGGACGGCTCTCTCTCCTTAGGAGGTAAATGTATTTATCGGAGCGTTTATGTTGTTAAGGACACTGGGTTTATTTCACTGTGTGCTTTGAACAGACCTTTTATTTCTCTCTTGGCCTCTGAGTTTCGAGAAGATAGACCGCCTGAGCCCCCAGGTTGGGTCTTTATGGGTTACTATTTGAAAAATAATCTCTTTTTAAAATGTGTGTTCGTTGATTATGCAGTCCCAAGTAATTTTACGTTATGAGATAATGCATTGTATTGCATGAAACATTCAGCACTTTCCTGTGTTTAAAACAATGCCCCTCTATTTACTTAGTTAGGAGACCCTGCATAAGAATATACGCTTCAGAAACAGAAGAGCTGAACCTAGAACAAATACGTGCATATGGACAGGATTGTGGTAGTAGCTGTAATTTAAAAAATTGAGGTCTTAATGTTCCAAATGTGTTGGGATAGATATGGCGTTGGGTGCACCCTCTTGTTTTAGGAGCTGGTATTGCGAAGTATAGGGAGAACGTGCCTGCCTCACGGTGTGTATTTAACATACCACAGAAATGTGGTTTAGATCATACACTCCCTATCACTGAAAACCTATATGTAGATTTTGTTTACAGGGGTTGTCTCAATTAGCTTAATATGTGATTAGCTATTATTGAGCTAGAATGCAATTATTTTTGAACTGGGTTTCCATATGGAAATATAACTTTAGCTTAAATTACTAATTTAAAATTAATCATGTTGCAGGTCTGATTTACACTGTTTCTGTAGGTTGGGGGGATCTAAATGATTGAATTTAATATGAAAATAGCAATATGGAAAACAGTTTTTTAAGTACCAGAAAATTTTATTCAGATGAACTTGATATTTTTTTAAAAAATGAGATTAAAAAGTAGATTTTGGAAATGTTTATCTTTTGCTTATGAAAAATTACTGTAAGAGAAAAGTGGTTTGGGGAACATGTATGTGTGGAATTGGTCATGATTTAGAGAAAGATTGACAGTGTTATAATAATAAGAGCAGTTCTGCATTAAGCCTACATTCAAACTTATTTAGGAAACATTCCTTTAAAGTTTATAGAGAAATGTATGAGTATACATTATCTTATTTTTCTCCCTGGGAAAAATGTAAAATGTCACTTCAAAAATATTTTTTATTTCTGGAGATTATTTAGTCACACTTAAAAGTTCTTTAGAATGTGCCCTCTCATTTTCATTTCCTTATAAAAACAAGTGATTTATTTTCTTACAAAAAGAAAATTTGTGAAGTGAAGCTACCGTGTGTAAAAATATGAACTTCTTTTAGCTAATCTTTAGCTTTTAATTGAGGACAACCTGTTGAAAATGAGCCTGGAAAAAAATATGAAATTCGCAGCACTAAAATTTTTTGGAGCCATGTCAGCAAACCGAATAGATAGCAAATTAAATTACAATGTTAATAGCAAAATTGCCTTGTGTATTTGAGAATTATGAGTAATTGTATTCAGATTTTTACTTAACATTTCTTCTATCCTTTCCTGAGACAGCATATTGTTCTTGCCTAATAAAGTGAACCTGGGCAGAATTAGTTGCTTACTCCTAAATGGCCTGGATGTTGTCAGTGTAACTATTAAGAAACTGGGTCTTCTTCACAGTGCAGGGAAGTTTATATTGAGAACAGCTGTGGTGTAGTGGCACTCCAGATATGAAATGAATGAACTGTGAATCATGAAGATGGAGTCTTTGATTGGTATGCAGGAAGATGCATCTGTCCTTCACTTATGGAGCCTAATTTTATATCATAATATATTATGACTAATAGCATTATCCTCCCCCAGTGGTTCTGAAGTATCCATGAGTAACTGGAAACATTTTACTTTATACAATATGTTTGTGAATTTAGAATACATTTTTCTTACAGAAGAATATCAAAAAGACATATGTGGCTTCAATAAAAATCAAATGCCTCCACCATGGTTATTAAAAAAGAAACTAATCAGCATCATAAACTGTGTCTTTCACTTAACCCTTGATTGCTGTGCCTCTCTGGATGTATGGCATTGGGGTTCCACAAAGTTTTTCACCTATCCATCTCATTTAGTCCAGTGCAATCCCTATCCTGGTTATTAGTCTTAGCAGAACTTTGGGACAGAATTTCAGGCTCCTTGGGAAATTCTGATTTTAGGGGGACGGTGTGAAAAGATCATCTAATGAATTTCACAGGAAGCAAAGCCAGTCAAGCTGGAAGTTAATTTCTCGTGACTGATAGACTATCTTCTCCATGAAGGAAGTGGTTCTTGTTCAGATCAAATTCAAAGTGGATTCTTTGAATCCTACATCAGTCACTGTGCTTCTCGCTCCACCAGCATTTCACAGAAAGGCTTTGCAAGTGCAAAAAGTGCCCCCTTTTAGTTATGAACCCAGCATCTTGAGGGCTCTGTTGGACTTCATTCCCTATAAGGTGCATCTCCTGGGCAGGCGAGATCTGCATTAGCATTATCCCCAAAGACGTAAATAAACATGGTTTTCTGCAATGAAGCTATTGGAAATGGTGAATCACAACGGGCCTTATATGGGAAACTGTTCTATCCTGGAGCATTTCTTCCCAGTGCACAAATGGAGATGATATTAGTTGACCTGTCCATGTTGCCAAGTGGTTTTGGGGTCAGTAGGCATGATGCATGTGGAAGTGCTTTTTGAACAACCTCCACAGCATTGTAAAATGCAGTGTGTGGTTTGGATCTATACCCACCTTCATTCCTTGATGCAGAGCATGGAGAGCCAATGGGTAGGTGTCCCTCTGGCTCAGTAGTTGGCTGCTGGATGTTTCTTTTTGTCCAGAAGTTTTGGTGGCTTGTAATTCCCCAGCATCTGGCAGGCTCTCCCCTTCAGGCTGGCAATTCTGCTCTCCCACCTGTTGGAACTTCCTGCTCTTACACTCCTGAGAGCCAAGTACCCTGGCTGGCGAGCACCTTCTTACACTTCCTCTGTTGAGGCTGCAGCTGCAGCTTGCCACATTGACACAAACCCAGAATCCGCTGGCAATGACAGCAAGCCAAAAGAAGAATATTTGAGCCACTGCCATCTTCTTCTCACCAATTGTGCCAGCTCATCCTGAAGCCAGCTAGAATATGAACACTTTGAGGAGAAACAATGCTGGAAAAAACACCGACTCAATACTATTAGACAAACAGTAGCTGACAGATACATTGGGGGCTTTGAGCTCTTGCCTTCCCCAGCCCTGCTGTGCAGGAGCCTCGGGGTTGGACTTTCTGGTTCTTCACCCTGTGCAGTCTGCAGAAGAAGACAATCTGAGATCGGCTTACCCACCCAAACCTAGTGAATTCTAGTAACTTCTATGCCAGCTAGCCTCAGTTTCTCTAACCCTTGTCATATTTGCCATTTCAAAGCATTAGGCTTCTCTCATGTTTTCAATTTACATTTTTAATCCTAGACTTAGACTAAAAGTCTTGCCTGGAAAGACTTTAGCTATGACCTTGGCAGTTAACCTCACTCTTGCCAAGAACTTTTCTCCAGAAGCAAACTCTCCATTCTTTCTCTTCTCAGTCTCTGATGCACCTCTGAAGCGGACAACCCCCTGGACCTAAGGCACAAGCATACTCCTGACAGTATCATTTCTGCCTGGAGACTTGTGCTGGCAAGTTCCATTCAGCAAATAAAATCTGCTTGTGTGCCACTGTTGGCAGGATCAAATCTCAGTTTGCCACCCTTCTCCTGGCCATTGTAATTTGAGTTGCTGACTATCCACTACAGAATTAAGCCTTCATTAGGTCATTTGTCCCAGCCTAGCCCTAGCTTACTTCCTGTCCCCAGTGTTCCCTTGAAATCTGGCACACCATCTAAGCCATGACATATTCTACCTTCAGTCACCTCTATTGCAGGAAGTGGTGCTAGTAGAGACATCCTGGGTCAAGCAGGATATCCTCCAACTACTGCTGTTCAGATAAAATTCAGGTGAGGTTAAACTAAAGTGAAATATTGTCAGTCTGTTTCAGAAAGGCTGGGGCTACCAGATGTCTACTGCAAAGGACCAGGCATTTATTGTAGTGAGGTGCTTTGGTATTCTACTGCAGCCTTCTGATTTCTCACAGGTAGCTATGGAATTAGATTCATACAAAAATACCCTGCCCGTGAGCTGTAGGAAAAGGGATCTGCTGACAGCCTTGGTCCCTATTTTTTAACTTAGCACTTAGGAGTAGACTTGCTCACTAGAATTGCTCAGAGGACTCAGTGTAGAGAGAAACCTAGCTACTGCTTAGCTAAGCACCCCTTCTTGCACACAGCCATTTGAAGTTTTATCCATCCAGCTCTTTCCTCCAACGGGCCCCAACCCAGTGGTACTTTGCAGACTCCAAGAAGCCACCCAAATTTCAAGTATTACAGGTTCTATCTATCTATCTAGTCTGTATTCATCTAATCTGTATCTCTATCCATCTATCTTATGTATTTTCATTTAGAAGTGTTATTGAACACAGTGATTTTTTGTGATTTTCTATTGTTTTTTGTTCCAAGTAGTCTAAAAGTACAATTTCCCTTGTGTGGAGATTGCTCAAGTCATTTGCATTGAAAAGAAGTTCTCAGGTATGAAGTGAGTATGAGGCTTCTCCTGTCTCCTTTGCCTGTGGTTTCTCACATGCGTAACGCCACATGCCACATGCATTATTTTGTGGGGAGGGAGACATGAAGGAAAACTTGAATTGCCACAATGCTCCTTTATGTGAGGTCCTGATTTCTTCCTGTCTTAACCCCAGTGCCTTCTCATCACACAAGAACCAACCAACCCTTTTCAACTTTCCTTGAGTGGGGCTATCACTCTGCTTTTTCCTGTGATAAATTATTTTAATCATAATAAACTGAAAGCTTATCTAAGCAACTACAAGCCACACGTTTCTCCTTTGAATTCTGGCTGTACTCACTACCTTTAATATTAAATTTGACAGTCATAACACAGGCAGTTATGATTCTCTCCAAAGAAGTTAACTTTGTGAGAGTACAGAATAAGTAAATTTCAGTAAACACTTGCTTGA